TACAATAATAATAATAATAATAATAATAATAATAATAATGTAGCTACTGATAGAAATAGCTAAACCGATGGCTATATTGTTAAATTAAAAACATTAAGAGTCAAAATATTAATTGTGATGTCAGATTCGCAGGAAGTAATAGCAACAACACCCAAAAGAATTATAAACAAAATGTAATTGCGATATTTATGCAGAGGAAAGCGAATCCCTTTTAATAACCAGTGTATATGTCTAAATTAATATGAGAATAAAATTCTGTCACCTGTTAATCAGAGACAGATAGAGACGAAAGTTAGCTCAGATACGGTAGATATAGCTGGTTAGGAGCGCTGAATTAGTGGTAATTATGCAAACGGGTGGGATTTGACCAGGCCGACCACTGGTATACACATAATTTGATGCCACTGAAAACCACCGATTGAAATTGATAGAAATTGAAAAGTTAGAAAAATATATGGATCTGGAGAGCCTCGCAGAAAATAGAGGAATTGGAAATAGAATGAAGAAACGAAACGACAGAATGCTGTAGATAGTGCTGGAGTATTGATAAGACTTGATGTCACTTGATCCTTAGTGAAACCTACTAGACTTTCCTGTTATAAATCAAAACAAATACTTTAATAATAATACTAAACGAATGTGTTAATAATAATAATAATAATAATAATAATAATAATAAACTGAAAGAAATTAGTATGAACAACACCCAGGCCCGGTTATGGAGATAGGATCTCTAACAATTTTATGGGACTTCACAATACACACCGACAGAACAATCAAAGTTAATCGCCCCGACATCGTGATTAGAGATCGCAAACAAAAAAAAATTATGGCAGTCCCTGCAGACTGCAATTTATTTTTGAAGATCTTGAAAATAACTATCAAAATACAAGGACCTTGAAATGGAAATCTTAAAAATGTGGCACTTAGGAACATCAACAATTCCAATTGTAGTTGGAGCCCTCGGATTGATTGGAAAAGATTCCAATAGATTCATTGAAAGGATTCCTGGCAGCACATGACTTAAAGAAATACAAAAAAAAATTGTTCTCACGAGTACAGCCGACACCTTACGAAGGGCCTTATCTGTGTAAAATATGTGTGTGTTTTTTTAATTGCTCAGTGGAAAATGTCATGATACCATTTCTGACCTTAGGTCTCTGGTCGGAACCCGGAAAGAAATGAGTACACACCAGAAATCAAAAGAAATTAAACAATAATATTACGAAGCACACTGGAAAATTTGCAACTTTTACGGGAAGGAAACGGCAAGAAAGTGGTATGAACATCACCCAGACCCGGTTACAGAGATTAGGGAGCCTGTAACAATTAAAAACTAATCACCAACACATCGTAATCAAAGGCAACAAAAAAGAAAATGCTTTCTTATTGATATGACACTCCCTGCGGATTGTAATGTATCTTCGAAATCTTCAAAAAACTATCAACATAAAAGGGTCTTGAAGTGTAATGTAAAATTGTGGCACATGTGGACATCAATAATTCCAGTTGTAGTTGGAGCCTCGGGTTAATTGGAAAAAGTTCGGATAGACTCATTGAAGAAATACAAAATGCCTTAAAGAAATACAAAAAAAAAAATGTACTCACAGCTACAACGCACACTTTACGAAGAACTTTTTCTATGTAAAAATGTGTGTGATCTTAGGTTATTTTTTTATAAAAATGATCAGTGGAAACTGACATGAAGCCATTTCTGATCTTAGGTCACTTATGGGGCCCAGAAGGAAATGTGTAAACAACAGAAACCAAAAGAAATAATAATAATAATAATAATAATAATAATATCCTAGTTATCATTGGGGCGAAGTCCTGCATTAAGACAGTCGTAATAAAAACTAGAATCCTATTGTTTCAGAAGACTACCTTGCTTGATACTGCAAATATTCTGCGAAAAGTGTTCTCTAGCTAAAGACGTCCGACTAGATGGAGAGTTTCCATAATGTAAAATGCCCGGTTTAAAACGAAAACCGTACGAAAGAAGATACTACTACTACTACTACTACCACCACCACCACTACTACTAAGAAGAAGAAGAAGAAGAAGAAGAAGAAGAAGAAGAAGAAGAATATAATTTAAGCGGTAATCTTACATTATTAAGATTATTAAGAACGAAGGATGAGTAAGGAATTCTTTTTTTTCCATAAAACAATACTTCTGATTATTTTTAAGATTTTCTATAACATGAAAATAAATATTTAAAATATTTTCATTTTTCTTTGAAAATATTTCGATAGGTAATTCTGAATCAGTTTATTTCTAACGATGACGCATTTAGTACTAAATCAATACCAGCTTTTAATAACAACAATAACCAAGTAATATATATATATATATATATATATATATAGAGAGAGAGAGAGAGAGAGAGAGAGATCAGGGATGTTTACTCAAACATGTGTATTGCATGTGGATACATGAATTTGAGTAGACATCCTTGTTTTTAAAACAATGTAATTGACGTCTACCGGCCTGGAAATTCGACTTCTTTTTGATAAAAAGAATATGCATTTATATAAGCAGATCTAAAAACAAAAGACATCATCATTTAAAGTAATTTTGCAGTTGCTTTGGCTACATCTTCTGCGTGAATAATATAGGATATTCATCAATAAAGTTATCTGTAGTGTTATATGTAAGAAAGAACTCCTTTTAAAATTATTAAAAAAAATATCCAATGAAATCCGGCACACAATATAAACAAGGTATTATCAACCTGATCCCCCTTACTTACTAATTACCAAATTTATTGTCATGGGAAAGTGAGGTATTTTTGTTCATTGGTAACGAACAATGCCTTTTCTTACCGGAATATCTCCTAAACAGATAAGGAATATCAGGAAGCGGCATTGATAAATAAAGTCGCGTAGAACAGAAACTACATTTGTCCCACAATGGTTATTATATTTAGCGCATGAAAAACATGAATGAAAATATAGCAACTATTATGGGACATAAGTAGTAAGTGTAAGGTACTGCCAAAAATTTGAACTGTGCGAACACGAATCGTATGTAGTACGGATTTATACCGCTACCTTTGGGAGCAGTGCCTTCATAAATAGTTTCCATATGTTTCATTGTCATATTCACAGAACTTTGGTGAGGTGACTCTTACGAAGAGAATTTTTTTTCGCCCATCCACTCCTTTAAATCTAAAAAAATAACTAAACAGATTTTTATATTTTAAAAGTGCTTTTTGTTCATTCTGCGAAATTTTAGCATAGTAATTATTTTAAAAAATGAAGATATTTCGAACTCAAACGGGGGCGGGGGCATAGTTCTCATCGATTGATTCACAATATTCTCTAAGTTATCGTTTTTCTGTACATAAGCTTTCTGTTTGAGGCTTAAAATTCCACTTCAATATATTTAATACTGGATAGCGCCAAATGACAAGAGTATATCAAATGACAAGAGTATATCAAATGACAAGAGTATATCAATATGTGTGATAGGGAGGCAGGAGCTTCATCATAAATATTCTTCTATTTCAATGGTCCAGTTTTCCTATCGCAATTCTGGTTAGTCCTGATTTCATTTTTTACGGCTTATCATCACTTTGCAGGTAATTTAAAGCCTGAAAATAAGCATTTTTTTAGATAATAATGATTTTACTGATAAAAGTCTTATTAATTAACCCATAGTTGGTGGAGGAGAAGAGGTGAATTCATATTTTTTTCCAATGCTATTTTCGTGTAAGCGGATGTAACGAACCCAACTGGAATCGAAACTCTTCATTTCGATTACCAATTCCCAGATTTTATCCATTACACTACTCGCACATCCACATATTCCCAAGCGGTCACCCATAAGGTATTGACCAGGCTCGACGTTGCTTTAATTTGCTCATCAGGGGACTTGTGTTTCAACGTAATGTGGCCGTAAACTTCTGATTATTAACTTAAAAGCATACACGCAAACTAACAAAAACAAATAAAACAATACCTGTCGTAAGTTATACACTGAACTGCCTTTTGAGCCATTGTCCTTGTCCTTCCTTGCCGTCTTCGTGCATACACCCTTACTGAAGTTTAGACCGGCCTTTTATCGTTCAGCCATTTCTTCTTGTCTTTCAAACACTGCATTCCGATCAAGTAGTCCAGGTTCAACTTAAACATTCATTTTTATTTTTCAAATACACCACTTAAAAGTAGTCTCAACCGAGGAAGTCATATGACGTTACTTTTTCCCTTTGCTGCTACATACAGGATCTATACTTAAACAAGCACACCCATACATCTATGTGCATATATATTTATATATATATATATATATATGATTAAGTGACCCCACGCGTCCACATGAATGACCAAGGGAGGTGGGGATGATGATGTTTTCTTTTTTGTAGGTGTTCGCCTCTTCGACAAAGATGTCATCTGAAGGTCATGTGTAGTCTTACTTTCATAAATGCAGTCTAATTCTTGTGCACAAAATGTCAAACTTTTCGATTTAACAGCATTTATTTATTTAGCCTAGTTTTGGCATCAGACCACAAATATGTGACACCCAGTGAGGATCGTACTCACTAATGGTTATCTAGTTTAATCTCATTAACTAATACTAGATTGCTGAGACGCGCTTCTTGATAACCAAAAAGTGTCTAATACGTGTCTCCTGTTCCTTATTTTTTGACTAGTTTGTTTTCGATTGCCTTCATTGAATAAGGCATCAGCCAGAATTTCCCTGCACCAATTGCAATAAAAATACTTATGTTTTCTCGGAGATGTTCCTGAAGAGTAAAACAATAAGCGAAAGCAACAGGATTGAACATCAGTTTATATCATGAGCGTATGTATATTTTGAAGACACGTAATGAGGAAGGAACGCTCGGAGAATTTAACACTTACAGGATGTAGTGAAAGGAGAAGTATAGGAAAGCAGTGACTATTCCACTTAACAAGATTGAGCAAAAGGGGTTTTGAAAGGCTAACTATTATGTTGAATCACAAAAGGCAGAAAACTACGAGGTACTATTATCGTACACGTCAGAGAGAGAGAGAGAGAGAGAGAGAGAGAGAGAGAGAGAGAGAGAGAGATTTGTATGATTCTGTAAATAGATGTCTGTGTGTTTCGGAGTATAATCAGAAATTAAGTCTTTTTGTCTGTACATATCACATACGTTTTAAAACAAAATATTGGTGGTACACAGAAAACGATGATCACCCCAAACGTCTATTAAATTCGATCTTGGTTTTAAAAGGTTGTAGGGGATGGTGAACACAGATTGAATACCCACTGAATAAACAATACAATAGAAACTTCTGCACACACATTTCTAGTGAAAAAAAAAACTGTATGTAAAATAGCCCCTGCTATGAATTCATTCAGATAAATAAAGCAATCGAATTTTAATTAAAACTGTTAATGCCCTAAATAACAGGTGCTATCGTGACGTGCTGTTGCAATAAAAACCCCATACGACTTAAAATTATATATATATATATATATATATATATATATATATATATAATTTCTCTCACTGGTATTACGACATGGAGTTTCATACACAACACAATCTTCAGTAGCTGAGAATAAATTAACCGTGATGTAATTTAAATTTTAATAAAAATATCTAGTTGTCGCAATGTTGTCGTGGTTATATATCTTACTGGGATTACAGTTTTTTTAATTTTAAAAAATATATTTAGTATTTAAAATAAATGGGATTATATATATATATATATATATATATATATATATATATATATATATATATAAACATTTTTGACTTGTGAATATTAATTTTTTATATTTAGCATAAAGGAATATTGCTTGTTGTTTTTTTAAAACAAAAAACAAACCATAATTTACATTAAAGATTAATCTGGATCAACGCATTTTATGCCTACAGGTAACCATCGATTCATTTCTCTCGTTTAATAAGCTAGGGTTATTTAAGCATTCTAATTTTTCAACAAGACATAAATTACAATTGTTGCGTTTCCATTGTAAGCTTTTGCTCTTGCCACAAAATTCTACGTGATAATAGGTGTATTGCCACCATTCTTTAATTGCTAGAAATATTTAGAGAGTGGAATGCTGTTTTTTATATTTTATATTGCCTAAAATCATTCGATATATATATATATATATATATATATATATATATATATATATGGAACTTTCTCCCGGCTTCTTGGTTGCTGTCAACTCTAATCTTCAAAAATCTAAATGCAACGTCAATCCTGGTTTTTTTTTTATTTGACACTTTTTCGAATAATGTTTTTCTCGGAATCTTTCACTTCCATTAACTCCTTGCACTTTGCTTTATCGACTTGTTTGGAGTGAAATGATTATATATATATATATATATATATATATATATATATATATATATATATACCTTTTCTTTATTATCAAACAAAATTGGTATGGTTTCTTCGGAAAGATAAAAAATTGTTTCTCATTGTTTTCTGTGCGTGGAGGTTGAATCTTTTCACTGATGCATCATATATCTGGAGCGTTTTTTAGAGTTAGCAGCTGAGTGGCAGTCTGACAGAATGACACCGACATGAAAGTTTGTATGAAGCAGAATTTCTCCATGCGTATAAAGATTCCACTCAATAGCATTCACTGACACTTGCTGAACGTCTACAAGTGCCAAACTGGGAATACAGGCAGAGTCAAATAATGGGTAATATGTTTCAGCAGTGGTGAAAGGTATTTTGTTAAGGACCCTTGGGTTTCGTGACCCGGTACATTTGTACCGGCTGACCCCCCCCACACACACACACACACTTGCCGCCACTAGCCAAAGAAGACACATTCTGGGTATTCCGGCAGAGCTCTCAACCCACAAAATGATGAGCGCTTCGAAAATTCATCGCTACATGCTCAATATTTTCCACATATTCATCAGGTATGTAGAAAAATAGTGCTTTGTAGATAAAAAATTGAAATATCCAATGGTGTTATTATGTTCCCTGTATATGTTGTAGCTTCCATGAAAATAAACAGGAAGCACTACTTTCGGAGCGCCCCACGTATACAAATTCCCCTTTTGTTTAAATTTCTTAGATGAAAGATTATCATTAGTTACATTATTTGCATGCGTATAATTGTCATCATTTGTTGTTGTTGTTATCACAATGTTTCAGCCGTTGTACCACCCGGCCTTCATCAGGTGAATTATACAGGGAATTCCAAATTGAACCCTTTATTTACGCTACGTAAGTTGAGTGTTCTCGTTCCAATGCCCATGTCCAGGGACTTCTCGTCTAGTTCTTTATTTTTTATACTGCTCAATTATTGCACACCCTGAGTCCAAGTACACACTGCCCAGCCCAGAAATTGAACTCACAATTACTGTGTCACCAAATTCACGAAGAAGCGTTTTAAACCATTAGGCTATTGTCCCGTGGAGGCCGTAGGGCACAACGGTCTAAACGTTGTGATAAAAATAAGGATGAGGACAATAGTCCACGTGTAAAAGTGTAAATAAAAATGACCCTTCGTTGTGTCGTATTGATTAAAGATAGACTCTTATAATCAAGAGAAAACTAGTAAAGTGTGTGCATCGACAAGCGCTACGCCAATAAAAATAGTTCTACTCAGAAGAAAATACACGCCCAGCTTCATATTTTGATCACGCACACATACACGCGCGTGCATACACATATATATCCTTCATTAGTCGAGAGGGACAATAGTATCGTTACTTGGGGTAAGTAAAATAATCAAGTGAATGTGGATTACCCGTAAGTAGACACGTTAAAACTTCCCCTGTCTAACATCGTGCGACGCCAGTTTCAAAACAATGGTTGAAATAACTGACGATGGGACAGAAAATAGAGATTGGGGGTTCGTGCTTTTGCTAATCTCATTTATGTCCACATCAAGTTACCATTTGGCGGCGCATGCTCACAGATAAAAAAAGAAAAGAAAAAGAAACGTCTTTCCTTGTGTACTGTACATGAGAGCGTGCATGGTGATGTGAAGGAATGTGCGGTCAATGACGACAAGGAAGTCAGAGAAGAAAAATCAACAATGGCGGAAAAGGAGAAGCCGTGAAACAGGAGATATAAGTGGGATTCAAATAGATTTAAAAAAAAAAAAAAAACACCCCAAAACAGACGTATTTTGTTTTAGAGAGTGAGTAAAAGAATGGAAGTGAGCGGAAGGAAAGAGAAGTAAGAGTGAAAGGTTTTGAAGTGGTTGCGGTAAGCAAGAGTTTGACAGATTTATATGATGAAAGGAAAAAGGAACATGGAAGCGAGACAACGAAAAATAGTAGGTGGAAGGAAGAGAGAGAGAGAGAGAGAAAGAGAGAGAGAGAGAGAAAGAGAGAGAAAGAGAGAGAGAGAGAGAAGAGAAAACAATAAGGTGTAGACTGATTTGAAAGAAGCTGATATTAGGGGAACAGAAGAGAAAAAAAAAGAAAAGATGCACTAACAAAGAAGATGATGAAGTTCAAAGAGAAAAAAATGAAGAAATCAAAACTTCAGAGAACAATTAAAAATATTCTGTATCAAAATAATAAATCTCCAATTTCCGAGCGAGGATGAAACCCGTGGAGTTTAAAATTGATATAATTAGAAACTCCTTTTTAAAAAATTCAAAATAAAATATACGGCAAATGAAAAAATTAATTTTTAGATGAATGATTTCAGATCTGTAATTCTTGGCGGGAAATTTCGAACAGTTCTTGTTCTTACAGGTGAGTTGTCAGTATTACTTAAAATACTGATAATGCGTTGAAATTATATTTTAGTACAGACAAACCTCTCATAGACGGAGTAGTGACTTTGATCCTCACTGGGTGCTCCATATTTCCGGCCTTGTGCCACATCTAAGCTACGCTTAGTAAATTACTATATGAATATATTCATTCATGTTATATTAATATTAAAAATAAAATATTTATATGAATATATTTATTCAATTGATTATATTGTTCATGACAGAGTGTTGCATTTATACTGAAATCGATTGAACTTAGGCTATTCATGTATCTAAGAAAAGCTTGGGATATACATACATACATACATACATATATATATATATATATATATATATATATATATATATATATATATACTCTTTATTATCTGCAGATTTTAATGCACACACGCGCGCGCACACACACACACACATATATATTTATACATATGCGTGTGGGTGTGTGTGCGTGTGTGTGAGAGAGAGAGAGAGAGAGAGAGAGAGAGGGAGAGAAGAGCTATTGAAGAGTCGAATGAAAGTTAAGTGTATTTTTAAATGGGTAAATAAATATATATTTTGGGTTGTAGTCATCTTCGTCTGGCCATGGTTGCCTGGGCAAATTTTGAACTTGTATGTGCGTATATCTCACTATACTTATTGTACATTATTTTTTTCACAAAAAAGAAAAAAAAGAAAAAAGAAGTTCAGATAACGTTAATTCCTTGCTTGATTTTGTTTGATGGAGGAAATTTGAACTTCTACTAAGTTAAATTAAAACTTACTGTCAATTTCATTACTAACTCTACCCAAACACATATGTTCGGAGCTAATCGCGGTGCCTGAATTTTGAAATTTTATTCAATAATTATTATTTTATTCTATTTTTTCTCTCTCTCACCAATAGGAGTAGATGGGTTCGCCTATTGTCCAGCTCACACTGCTCTCCGGACTTTAGAACATATATGGAAGTTTATCTCTTGTTTCTTGTTTAGAATTGGGTTTCTGTTTCCTTCTAAAGTCGACGTCAGTTCTATACTTCTAATGCTTGTCATTTCCTACGCAGTAACCCTCTACATTGAGTGGCTCTTGGGTGAAAATTAGTAAAAAAAAAAAAATTACAATGCGAAATAGCTTCCTCAATGGAAGTAACTGAAAATAAGATTCTTTATTGCCCGTGAAGTGATTTCGAGAAATGTATAAAATGGTCGGCGAGACATAGGAAATGATGAATAAAATATATGATAGAATTATCAGACTGAACACTCTTTTTTCAAGTAGCACATCATGTATAAGAGCTTGTAGATTTTGCGTTCAGTTTTAAAACGAGAAATAATGTTAAAGTTCATACGTATATTGCTCGTTTAATGCTAGGATTAATATTGCTGGAAGTAAAACCAGTGATGTACTGAGTTTCCTGCACCGGAAATTACTTCCGCTAATGGCGAATGACCA